CTATGGCATCTTTCTTGATTATATGATAAATAGGTCCTCAAAGTCTAACCTCAGGAGTTTTAAGGGCTTGATTCCTGGATATTTCTTATCAACTGTTCCCAATTTGGCCGAGTCCTTAAGTATGATCCTATAGAAAGGGACTACTTGGTATGAACACTCTTGCCTTGGGTTTGGTATCCTGATGTCTCCCACCAGAAATTTCTGGGCCGTATGTTTTTTTTGGGATGCATCACTGGAACAAGGTCTCCTGTATCTTCTTTATGTTGAAATGTTTTGAAAAGATCTCTCTCTTTAAGAATGCTTAGTATGGGTGTCTAGATGGATCATAGAAAAGTTGGCTGTTTTCTTTATGAGGGGGCTTGATATGACCATGGTGCGATCTGCTGGTAGTGCAGGTAGTGAGCAGAGTAGCAGGATAGAAGAAGCAAGCATTTAATCTTTTGAGGTTGTTATTACTCTTATGAAGTTCATATTGGCGAAGCACCCTGATTACTAGACCTTGTTCTTCATGATTCCTAAAGTAGTAACTAATGAATTCTATTATAATAAAAGTCAATGGTTAATATAAAAAGCAAGTCATTTTGTTTTCCAATGGAAGAATGTACGGCTGGGGCAGGATGGCCTTGTTATCGTGAAGTCTACGTGGGTGAATAAGGATATGCTGGCCAAAAGATCTGCTGGTGTAGTTTCTGAGCAGCTACAATGGCGTGTTCCAGGTCTATAAATTCAAAAAATTTTCTATTACTTCTATCACTAATACCATACAAGCCATTCAATATGGCGCTGCTGTATACATTCAAATGTCATGACAATTTTGAATACAACGCATTGTAAAAGGAATAAAAAGATGTCGCCCAAGATTAGATTGCTGCCACATTCTCACAATGCTTGCACAAAATAAACCAATAACTGCAAAAACACATAATATGTGAGTTTCCTTGGGATCTCCTATGATCAATGATGCGTGACTTAGGAAAAGTCCTTTCTTAACTCCAAACTCAAAACCCCTTGAAACACCTTAGAGCATGAGGGTCGAGAAGAAAGCTCCATTCTTCTTTTTGAGCATTTTTCCTTCTTCTCTATGGTTTCTCTCAGTTTTCTAGGGTCTTTCTTCACACGTGCAGCTCTTTGAACATCTTGGTCTTGCTTTCTCGTGCAGTGCTTTGAACATCTAGGAATCCTTCTTCCCTCTTTGCACGGGTAGCGACATATGAGAATCCTATTCCTTTCATCTTTTATGTATAACTCCCCATAGAGAACATGTTTCTCTTTTTATGCACTTAGAGAACCTGCTTAGAATCATCTCTGTATCTTCTACATACTTGCAGTCCTACAAAGTTCTCTTTCTCAAGTGGATGGCTCTTTCCCTTTCAAACCTGGCTGGCATTGAAACCTTCTTTCTCAGTCATTTTGATGCTCTGGAGAGATTTCTTCCTATGATATGTGCAAGCCCATGAAAAATCTGTTCTTCTCTCTTGCACTCTAATGCCCATGCCCATGAGAACTCTTTTATCTTTCTACATCACCTGTTACACCATGTTGCCTTGAAGTACTTATTTGCATCATGTGCTGCCCTAGAAGCATTTCTTTTCTTCCTCTCACTTGCTTTGCCATGGAAGAATCTCTATCTTCCTCTCAATGTGAAAACTCCGAAGAGTCTCTATCTCCCGTTTCTCCTGCTGTGAAACTCTACGAGAACCCTCTCTGTCATTCATGTCCCAACCGTCTAACTCTTTCTCTTTCCCCAACAAATCCATTTGGTGATCTATGGAGATTGGGTCAAGGCCTAGTTATAATTCTTTATCCAAAAATTATGATTTGTGGAGGATACAACTTAATCTTCCATTATGAGGTTTGTAGGGTGAGAAAGACTTCCAATCTCATCCCTTCATTATCAAAATTAGCTAGGATTATCTCATCATCATCATCAGAGCCATTTCCCAACTATTTGGGGTCCGCTGTGTGAATCCTGATCGGCCATTTCGCTCTATCAAGGGAGCTAGCCATGATGATCTAAGAGTGGTAATTACTCAATCATTCCTAGGTGCCCTTATCCCACACTTATTCATATTCCAATCCAAGAAGAATACATACCAGTTTTCCCAAATCCCAATATTACTTGGATTTAGAAAACGCAATAATATATCCTTACTTTAAAAAGCAATCATACTTCAAAATAGTTCTTTTCACCTTATTAAATCTTGAGAAGATGTTGGGAAGAAAAAGAAAACTTAAATACATGGGTTGCTCAAACAAATTAGGAATTAGAGGGGCTCAAGAATCCACATGGGACACATGGACAATGGGCCCCACTTGATCCATCCTTTTGATCGTATGGGCATGTGGGACCCATGGCCAGTAGGGCCCACATGTTCCAAATCTGTTTTTTAGTGACGTGAAGTCTATGTGTGGCAGGTGTGTTAAAAATGCCTAAAATTCTATATGTTTTAATTTTCCAAATTTCGTTTTAATTTCGAAAGAGCTCTTGGAGAGGACAAAAGGGTAATTCCAAATAGATCCTCCTCTCTCTTAAGAGCACAACAATCCTAACTTTAAGGTGCTCTTTAGAAAAGAAATTCATTTAATTTCTTCAAAAACATCTTTAAAGATACTTGAAAAAATATGAAAGAGTGGACATCTTGTGGAATAATGCATTCCTAGGTCCCTAGGTTTCTTGGCTCTGACCACAGAGAACTAGTGGGAGTCAAGTAACTCTTATATCATCTTGCTCTAGGGCTCTCTTGGCCACTAGAGGCCCATTGGTCTCTCGTGGACATGGACCAATCCACACTGCCACTCAAACTGCAGTGTTCCTCCATATTTCACTGATAGCATGAGCATAGTTACGGGAGCCTTGGGGGTAAGGCCACGGTTCCACCTTGGGAACTCGATCCCGCGGTTCCTCTAAGGGATCTTAGAAGGAACTGAGTTTAGAGAAATAGGGATTTCGCTCCCTATAAAATGGGATCTCGGTCTACAAGCTTGTAGTATCCCTCCAAGGAGTGGAGCAAACCTATTAATTGAATTACTGCTAGTATTATAGATATATTTCTTTAGAGTATGTTAAATTGTAGCCGATATCACATCGTGGTGTAGTAAAATTATGGTATTAAAAAAACTGCATTTTAACATCATAGTAAGCCAATTTATGACATTATTAAATTGTATTATTGTAATAAATTGGAGTACTATAAGTCTGTAAGTATAATTATGGCATTGATAATAAGCTAAGGTGTATGATAAGGGATCTAGCGGGTATTGGCTCGGTCCTAGTTTTATCATAAACTATTACTCTATCTTGTATTATGTAAAGTGGAGCTTAGATCCCTCCAAGTCAAAACCCCTAACCATATGACATGGGATCTTTGCTCCAAGGTATCATAGGATCTAGCTCCTTAACTTATTGACTTTATGGAGTTAACAGTTTCTTTAAAAAAAAAAACTTATTGACATATGGATACCGATCCTAACCCCAAGGAGCTCCAACCTATTGCAGTTGGTCGTTCCCCAAACCCATCATGCTTCTGCCACCAACAACTATGAGCAAGAGTGCTATTTATTTATTTATTTTAAATATTGACAATTTATATATTACCATAAGTATTAATTACAGATTTTTTACGAGGGTTGAGGATGGTATCCCACAAGTTGCTTGCTCTTAAATGACAAAGGCCGACCATAAAGGGAGGGACTCAACATCTGAAACAATCGCAGTTATGGTTAGCTGGCGTCAAAGAGTAAGAAATCTTAGTGGATTCATTCACTTGCAAAACCCGAGACAAAAAAGAAAGTTGAGAGAGAGACTAGGGGGAAAAGAAATTGAAAAGGAAGATACGGGAATAAAGACTGATGTCGATAGGGTAGCAGAGAAAGAGAGAAGTAGAGAGTTAGGAAAGTTATGAGGTATATTCAGATAGCTAGGCGAGGTGAGAAAGATAGAAAATAAATGATCTAGAGAGATGGAGGGATAGAGAGAGAAAGAGACAGCTAGAGAGATATAGAGAAATAATTAGAGAACAAATAAATCAATGAAAATGTCATTATTTCCTTACACTTTCAAATAATATAAAATAAAAGAGTTCCTCAATTAAGTAGACACTTTTGAAAGGTAGATTAGAAAGTTTTTGTGAAAAAAAATGTGATATACATAAATCTTAATAATTGAAAATCAAGGAAAGGTTTTAGGAAAGATTTGAAGTGTGATGCAATAAATGTATGAAATGGCATTAAATTGATTATTTAAGAAATGAAAGACATAAAGGGAATATTGCAAAATCCAAGAAAAGATTTTCTACTATAAACATAAATCTTTAAATGGAAACTAAGGGAATAAATAAATAAATGAAAAATGTCATTATTTCCTTACAATTTTGTATAATATAATATAAAAAAATCACCAATGGAATAGACACTTTTAAAAGGTAGTATAGACATTTTGTATAAAAAGAAATATAATGTACAAAAATATTAATAATTAAAAATCAAGGAAATGACATAAAGGGCAATACCATAACCAAGAAAAGATTTTTATTATAAATTACAGATTTTACATGTAAATGAAGAGAAAAAAAAAGCAACTCCTTGAAATAATTCCATCATTATAATACACTTTGGAATAATATAAAATAATCATAAATTATGTCGACAATTTGGAGGAGTGAATCAAGATTTTTTGCAGTCAAGGATCAAGATCACTTTGAGCTAGGAACCGAGATCCCAATAGGTAGGGATTGAGATCCCCTAATGGGAGGAAGCGAGTACCGCTCTGGCTCTGGCTTTGGGATTACCAGATCGAGATTCAAAGAAGGGATCTCCACCCCTTGACCAAGATCCTTGCAACTATGGTCTTTTCAAATCATGTGTAGAGGGAACTTGTTCATATTAGAAGTTGACTTTTTGATTGTGCATTATGAATTCAGATGAGGTTGTCTACTCATTGTAGTTTTCGAACTTATCATGGGGATTTTCTGACTATAGGCACCTATATGTTTTTTTTGCAGCAACCCGGATCAATCAAAACACTTGGAAACTGCAAAGATGCGTATATGTGATACTGAGATTGATTTTGTCAACTTGAGATCTGAGACTTATGTTGAGAATAGCCGCATTCCTACTATGGTATGGCCATTTTCCCTTGATAGGGAACAATTCAGAGAAGATGATATGTAAAAGCACCTTTGATCTCCTTACTAGCATTCGTGTTCAATTTGAAGATTAATTCGACACTTGGATCACAGGAGGTGCTGGGATCACAAAAGATCCATATCTTCTGTGAATAATCTTTTTAATTAATTGTCAAAGAAAAAATTATTCTGTTTTGATGCAATTGATATTGATGGTTCAAGTGAATTTCTGTTTTATATATTTGTTACTCTCAATCTAACTTTGGGATTCATTTGTGTCTTTACAGAAGTTTGGTACTGCTGTTGAAGATGCATATCGGCGGGATTTAACCATTAACAGGTTATTTGATAAAAGGAAGAATTTAATTTTGTTATATTTTCTGTCCTGAGGTTGTATAAAGGAGAAATTGATCTTTTTTGGTTGATTATATAATCCATATATTGGAAGCTAGGAATTCTAATTTTGTGAGGAAGTTGGATTTGAATTGTTTTAATGTGCTGCCAATGATATCAAGTCAAATGCAGCTGAACAGAATTTTACTTGAGATAATTGTGGGTCCAACATGCACTTGTGACATGTATGAGGCTTTGTAGAGCTCTCTTGATGGTTGTTCAGGTTTTTTACTGTTTCCTGATGTCCCTTGATTGTGGAGTTGTTCTGTTCATTGTAATCTTGTGGGCTAGGAGAGACCTGATTTAACCTTGAAGATAATGGATGAGTTATTTTAGGCTAGGAAATGGGTTCCACTTTTGTGTTCTTGTGCCTTTGGAGGAGCTAATTGTGAGGCTTACTCACTTGTGTGGGACTTGGGCGGTATTTCCTCTTCATTAGGCATTCATTAATTCCCTTTTGTAAAATTATACATTTTTTTTGGTAATCACTCTTGGCCATATCCTAGATGTATCACTTTCCTGATTCGCTAGATTCATTTATTCGGCGAGCTGGATTTGGGGTGGCAACTTCTTCTTGGAATCTTGCTCCGGAGATTCTGTTGCTGGCCTCTAAGATCTCGATCCCTATCTTTCAATGATATCTATCTTTGACTAAAAGGAAACTCAATCCTTGTGGAAAGGGGATCACAACCCAATACAAACGGGGTGGGGGCGGGGGGGGGGTGTTTAATTTTGAACCTGAGGTCTTTGATTTCGTGCTATGTTTTTGGCTTTCTGATGATTTTCGAGTTAACAACCACCTGTCAGCGATTTTTGTTTTCTATTTGCATCGTCATGGTCTGCTTTAGTGGTTGAAAACTAGGAAGCCAACATGGAATCGCCCTAGTTTGTTTGGGCCTGAGTCCTAGTCTTGGATGGTCCCGAATCAGGAAATTACTAATGTTGTCGCCTGGTTCACGATAGAGCCTCGGGAGAATATTGGTTCTTATTATGGCCTTACAATCCCATTTTTCTCAATATTTTTATGGGACTTTCTGGCTACAAATTTCTCATTGTGCATATGTATAGATATCTTTAATAAAGTGGATCATAAATTTTTTATTTTTACATCACTTTAAATATATAAATATATGAGCTGCCAAATACTTATGAACGATTTTCTACAGTGATTTGCTTGCACTCCCAAATGTCTGATTGTGAGGACTTGTTATGATTTGATTTGTTTTTTTTTTTTTAATGAATCTGATTGGCTGAAATTTTTAGTCTGTGCGTGTCATTTGGGCGCTCCTAAAAATATTCCAAAACTAAAATATCCCTACAACATTTCATGAGTACTTTAGTCACTTTATTTTTTAGAAGTGTTTCTCTTATATATTCCACTGGTGCAAGAGGGTGAGAATTTCTATTGTAATTCACTTGCACTCTCAACCATCTGATCGTGATCGGATGTTGGGGCCAAGTATTGTGATTTGACAAATTGGATTGGGTTGAACTTTTGAAAGTATGTGCCCAGGTTTGGGTTCTACTAAAAAGATAAATTTAAAATAATAAAATGATGAAAATACCCCTACAACATTTCAAGAGTATTTTAGTAATTTACTTTTCAATCATTTTTTAATATCTGTTAGGTGCTTGAGGGTGAGAAGTCTACATGCCACGATTTCAGCCCAATCTGATGGGTAGTAAAAAAAAAAAAAAGGAAAAAAAATTCAAATTGTAGCACGTGCTTCCCACTGTCTAACAATGATTAGGTGGTTGAGAGTGCAAAAAACATTGTTGTGGAAATTGTTAGCTTTCTCTTTCCAAACACACACACACATACACACATATGTACATGTACGTATACATATACATATCTATGAAAAGATATATGTATACACACACATATTTATATATATGTATGTGTATATGTATATGTGTATATATACACACACATAGACGCACATATTTATATATATTTATAGTGTATGTATATGTATATATATATGTGTACATATACACACACACATACATATATATATATGTATGTGTGTGTGTATATGTGTATATATACACACACATAGATATACACATATTGATATATATTTATAGTATATGTATAAATATATGTATATACACACATATTTATATATATGTATATGTATGTGTGTATACGTATGTGTATATATACACGCACATAGACACACACACATATATATAGTGATCCCATGTGCTTCTATCTACATATACTACATATATCAAGCTGCTGTTGTTCTTGTGTAAATAGTTTTAACTTGTAGGATGAATGATTCATGAATCATCATGCTCAATATCTTGCAGGAAAACTCAATATTCAAGACTTTATCGACTGTATATGAATGGTCTAAGAAGGGTGAGGATCTTAAACTTTCCCTTAACCCGTCCCATACCGTGGTAAAGGGGCTAAGTTGTGTTAGGTCGGCACCAACGTTCAACTTTGCCAAAACGTATCATGAATCTTGAAGTATGGACCCTTTTTTTTTTTGGGTTAGTAAAGTATGACCCTTAATAGAGCAGAATGGCGGATCAATATTTGTGTAGCCAACCATAATTACTTCGGAAAAGGCTTTGACGATGATGATGATGATGATATGTTGCCTTTGACGGTTCGCTCTAGTTTGTTTTAATCTTTTGCTTCCCATATTCTTCTTCAACATCTTTAGAACCTTTCTATCCTTGGGGTGCTTGTTGAAGCCCTACAAACATTTTCATTTAAGATTTCTGGATTGGAAAGTAACTATAATGATTTTAAAAAAATGGATATTCTGGCTATTAGTATAATCATAACTAATTGAGAATGACTTCATCAAAAAAAGGAAAAAAGAAATAAAATAAAAAAAGAAAAAGGAAAACTTACTTGAGCATGGAAATAGAGAAATCATGATCATGATTACTATCCAAGCCTTATCGCAATTATTTGGGGTTGGCTACATGAATCCTGTTCCTCCATTCTTCTCATAGGTTCAGGATTCATGATAAAACATGAGAAAGTTTTATGCTGGCTGCCTACCTAATGCAATCTACCTCCTTTACCCGGGCTTGGGACGGGTTAAGGGGAAGTTTAAGGCCCTCATACTTATTCAACCATGATTGTTAATAGTGAGTTCTTGTTGGTTCTTAATCTAGCTTCAAATTATGTTTTACACTAATGTTTACTCAAGGAATGAGGCATTTTGCACTAATGTCATCCATGAAGCTTGGAGCTCCTTCAGAAATCCCCTGCCCTTCCATGCTGCCATCCAGCATAGCAGCCATATTCGTAAATGGATGCTTTGTTTATCCTGAAACCAATATAGTAGATGCAAACCCCGTGTTTTATTTGCTTTGACTTTTAGACTGACCATTGAGATCCACATCGTTAACCGTAAATTGCTTTAGTTTCTCTAGATCAGCCTGAGGGGAGAAGCAGTTCACTTCACTTCCCTTAGTCTTGCTGCTTGATAGAGGGACATACCTCCCATTAACCCATTGGCACCTCAATGGTCCTTCCTCCTTTGGAAGCACCACCAAGAAGGGAATAGTACATTGTTGAACAATATTGGTGGAATATTATGTATTAATAATACAATTAACAAAGGAAATGAATTTTATGTTTTTTCTTCGTTCATGTTGCAACTGTCATAACCTTGTTGAATACATTGCAGAGCAATGAGATATTGGTTGCTTATCAACATTGATTTTTATTGGCAATGTTTATGTTGTCTCTTTCAGGGTTTTAAGATGCACTTACATTTTGTAATGTTCACAATATAAATTCTTTGAACTTCAAAGATATGCTTTGCGTCCTTACCAAAGGGAAAAAAAATAAAGAGGATATACTCTTGTCATTTGGATGCTTGGAGCATATTGCATTTAGCCATTTAAATTGATCATTTTCTGTTTTTTCAACTTCAGGTTATCCTCCTACTGGGCATTTCAAGTTGAATCACACTTAATCATATAAGAAGCCACATTTCCTTTTTAAAGCCCTTTGAAATGCATATCATGTGGATTATTTCATACTCATTGAATTGGAGTGGAATTGAAACAATTTCTAAATATGTATCTTTTTGGCAGCTTATTCTACAACATTAATACTAACTCTGTTGAGGATTTAACTGGACGAGGTCAGGCTTGTTAGTTGTTACTACGTTACTTCATGCTGTGCATAGATTAGTTCTCTTTCATAATTTGTTATCCCAACAACGTTATAGGAATGACCTCGATTTTCAGGTATTGCTGACTTGAAAGCTGGAATGATTGTAACTCCTTTGCCCCCCAAAGCTACATTCTTGGATGATCCACTTAGAGTTCTTAGAGCAATTCGTTTTGGTATGGACTGCTTCGTATGACCCTATATTATTAACATAAATTTCACTGGAAGACCTGTGTGGTTAAATTTTGAATTCCTGTTGTCATCCTCTACTGCTTCCTTGGAGTTCTTTGGTGATCTGCATTTGGTGGTTGTATGGGATCTTGCAGCTTATTGCTCTGTATGTTTGTAAGAATTTAAAATTAGTAATGTCAATGGTGCCTCATACTCTTTGAATCTCGTAGGTGCGAGGTTTGAATTTGTCCTCCATGATGATCTTAAAAAGGCAGCAAGTAATGAAGAAGTAAAAGCGGCACTTGCAGAAAAAATCAGTAGAGAGCGGATTGGCCATGAAGTACTATTCTTATTTATATACTATATAGTTTTGCCTTTCACGTCATTGCGTTCTGTTTGTTGCTTGGCCACAGATTTGCCTTATATGATGTGATAATTCTGCGACCAATTATATTGCTTTGAAAGTAGAGACTAATTGTGTTTCAATTTGAAGGAATTTGCATCTTTTTTGCTTATTTTTTCCTGTTGTGCAGGTTGATCTCATGGTATCTGGAAACCAGCCTGTTACTGCAATGACCTACATCTGTGATTTGCAGTTATTTTGGATTGTCTTTAGTCTCCCTATTAACCATGAACCTGTGGTAAAGGAGGATTTTGACAGGTTGGCCTATATCATTTCATGTTGATAGATGACTTGTACCACATGTTCAGCCTTTTATTCCTTCCATGAAACTATATTTCTTGGGTGGTACTGTTTCCAATTTTGACTAATTAAGTTTTTGTAAGGATTAATGGGTACTATCTTAATTGTACTTTATTATAACTTATTACACTCTGGCAAATATTCACCTCTAATTTTGTGATCAATACTTCTCAAATTGAGACCTTTCTTGGTTTCTTTCTGCTGTCATTGTTGTATAACAATGTTAAAAAAGACCGAGATGGCTGCCCCAGCGGTTTGGGGTACCAACTGCCTGGGCGGTTGGGTAGCCGCCTGACCTAGGCAGGCAATATGTAGAAGACCTCCTCTGGGGGGGGGGGGGGGGGGGGGGGTTTGGGATTGGGTTTGTTAGGGGTTTTTATAAATTTATGATTTTTTTTAGGTAGTTATAAATCTATTATTTTGCACTAAAAAGACCCGTGTCGAATGCCTTTCGATTTTACAAGAAATCGAAAACTTGGAGTTCAGAATCGACTTTAAATTTTTTTGATCCATGGTAAAAAAAAGTGTTTTTGGGAGGAAAATCTCTCTCACTAGGGTTTTGGGGGGCCAAGTTATCCCCTATAACCTATTTCCCCCCTTTCAAGGGGGGGAAAATACTAAAAAGCCCTTTTGGGCGTGGCCATTTTTCGGCTTGCCAAAAGGGCCCACAGCGGGCGCCTCTGCAGTAGGAGCTAGGCACCCATCTAGGTGGCTGTTCCCCTGCCCTGGCCTCCCGCCACACCCAGGGCCATGTAGCCCCAGGGCTGGACAGTGAGGCCTCCTGACAGCCCAAGCAGCTTGGTGGGCGATTTTTGAATATATTAGTATAATACAGTTATGGACTTCCTGACTAATATCTCTTTTGGTTTGTTCGATTTTACCAGAATTATGCTTTGTATAAAACCTAAAAACCATGTTTTGTTATGTCACGATAGCATGACCATAACACTGTTGATTGATACCTGTACATCTGCTCTGTCCTAGGAGTACATCATCTCTTTCTGGTCCAGAAATAGTAAGATGAAGGAGCAATTTATATTGTGATTTTTGGGCATGTTCCTCTCTCAATATTATACCATCTCCTTGAATCATTATGCTGTGTGGAATGCTTGAAGTGCTAACATAATTGCTTAGAAACAGTTAATGCTAGACTTGCTAGTTTTAAGTCACTAGGTGTGTTCATAGTTTGTACTGACTGTTATGGACCTGAACTTTTCAAGATGGTGTAACTGGATTTTGTTGGTTTGCTTATATTGGATATCTGCAACCATGCTTGTGGATTGGATCCCTTAAATCATGAATTGCCTAAACCTGAATGGAGTCAATACATTCTTTCAGTACAATCTTAAACTTCAAATAACCAAGATTGATGGAGAGATGGTTTTTTATGACTTTGAGAGCAAGTCCTCAAGGGTATCCCATTACTGTAGTTTGACTTTTCTCTTTACTTAGAGGGGTGACTTGTTCTGAAAGATCTGCGCTGTAGAAGCCTAGGATTTGGCATCGAGTTCCAAGCAAAAACAGATTGATTCTTTGCACTCCTGCTCCAAAGAATCCCATGGAAATTCTATTACACGTTTTACATATGGTGGATATTGCGTTTTGTCATCTTGGTAGTGCACTCTGCCGGAATCATACTATTATGTCTTTTGACTGTTATGACACTTTTCTCTTTTGTTTGAATTTCTTATTATCATTACTCGCCTCAAATGTGGAATGAAGTCATTATATGTGGTTTGAAATCTGTTTCTAATATAACAACTATCAATTTATTAATCCTCAAAGAAAAAAAGACGCAATTTATGCATTTCCTTCTATAATTTGGGATTCTTTCTTGTGGTCAATAGGCATAGACTTGTACTTGTTTCTACCACCAGTAAATGTACTCGTATATCAGTAACTCCTGGACCTCAAGCAATACTCAACAATACTCAACAGCTTCTCTCGTTGTCCATGTACAATCTGAATACTCAACAGCCTCTCTCGTTGTCCGTGCTTGTATATCAGTAACTCCTGAACCCCAAGCAATACTCAACAGCCTCTCTCGTTGTCTGTGTGCATTCACAATTCTCCTTCTCTTCCCAGAATGCCAAACTCATTCAAGATAAAGTATCAGTTTGCCGAGAACTTCTATATTCTAGATCTTTGACTTTTGCTTGATGTTTTTGGAGTTATTTTGGAAGTTAACTATGGTTTATCCCTTTTCACACCAAGTTTTACACCAAATCTCTCCATCATCTCTAATCTCTTGGGCGGTTTGAGTCACACCGCTGATATTTGGGTGAGGAGAGATCCTGCCTAGCCTCGTTCACATCTAGAAGTGGATGGTGATGGGATTGGCTTTGTTAATCTCTTGTAAGAGCATATCGGAAACTATCTTCCCAATCGGGGCCTATGAAAGATGAATCCTTAGCATAACTGGACCTCTTTGGTTGTTCGTATATGTGACTCATAATCCTCCAATTAGTAGGTTGACTGTTGACAGTTAATGAAATATGATGGAATATTTGACACTTCACATTGTACCATTAGGTCAGCCTTTTTTCTTTTTTCTTAGTTGTGGCGATAGTGTGAAAGTCTCCGTCAATGCACTCCTACATACCTGATAATAGGCAATTCTAAAGTTTCTCTTTCTTCTGCTCTACCAGCCAGTACACTGTTGTCATTAATCGTCAAAATGTGTAACCATGAATGCTCATTCTACTGATAACAAGTGATGCCAACTGTCCGTCTCCTGTTCTCCAGCTTTTTGAGATCTCTGAGAGCCTGGATATGATGTAGCTGCTGTTCATATGCAACTGAAAAGAGTTGTTGTGGACCTCCCTTCGGCCAATTTTTTCTGATCCATCCATGTATGTTTCTTGAACGATCATTTTGGAACCATATTATGTCGGACCTATAAATCCCTTAATATGAGGTCATGAGAACCCCACCTGCACCCTAATATTAGACGATAATGTTCCCTAACCTCAGAACCATTTTGAGGTGACTGAGGGTCCTAGAAAAGCCCTTATGTGGTTCATCCCAACCTCTACTAATATCCCGACTCCATCATATTAGAGATATTTATGGGTCCCCCTTGTCACTTTGGTCTGCCAAACATCCTCCTTTCTTTTTCCATTTGTTCTTGGCAAAGGATTTTTCACTCTCTTCATTTAATTTTGTCAAAACTTTTATGTTCCTCATTCGGTATATAAGAAACTAATATTTCCCTATCTCAAAAACCATTTTTGCGATGGGTGAAGGACCTAATTTGCTCCATGTCACCTCCAAATCATGATCCTCCAATAAGTTTCAACAGTGATGGAAAATCCGGCCACCTGGACACTTAGGTGGTCCAGGCAGCCTTCCAAAGCGAAGTGGCCTTAGGCACGTATATACCTGGGCACCAAGCAAAAGAAGAAAAGTAAAACAATGATTGAGAAAATGCTATGGTATTTAGTGCATTTTCTCTCTATTGCATTTATGCACTCTCCCTCTTTTTTGCGCTCTCACTCTCTCTCCACATTTGTAGCACACTTTCTCTCCAACACTTGCTTCTCTCTCCCCCACCATCACATTTTTTACACATTTTCTCTCTCCATCACACTTATAACATACTTTCTCTAATACATGCCCTCTCTCTCCCCCATACTCTTTCTGTTGCATTTATTGCACTCCCTCTCTCCACGTTATGGCACACCGCACACTCATTCAGACCATTGCATTTATACTCTCTCTTTTCATTTCTATATGGCTTTTCTCTTAGATATGATTTTGGGGTGGCAATAATTTGAGGCATTTTTTGGAGCTCCATGCTAATATATTTTCTCTTTGAAGATGTTGTTTTTGGAATGAGTTCGTTAAATAAGATTCAATTTGTATCCCAAATGCTCGAAATTCCTTCGATCTACTGCTCATTCAAGTGCACAGCCCAGATTCGGGTTTTACGGTAGCAATGTATTTGGATCATCTTCACTGCTCCAAATCTCAATCTCTCTCTCTCTATCTCTCTGAGGAGATCGTTTTTGGAGAGGACGAGATTTTATGAACCCTTGTTGGTCTCTCACCAATCTAAAAAGTGGTTTTTTAATATGCGAGGGCTTTGTAGTTTAATAGCCCAGCGACTGAGAAAGTTTTCCCTTTAACTTTTAATAAGCTTCCGGATTAGTTTGATGTCTTTGAGAGAATTAGGTTTACCTCAAACATCGAATAAATTTTTATGGGTGAGCAGTGGACATGGCAAGCTAGTTTGGTTGGATCATTTTATTATTAAGTTGTGTCCTGCTTTTAATATTTATCATGGCAGTTTTTTAAGATTGTCATGGATGTAAGTTTTGCAATTAAGTACGGCAATCTCTTGGCACACATTTAGGGAGATAAAGGGAAGTTATTCTTTGGCTCATGTGATAAGTGTTATCAAAATTTGAGTTTTGTATGGCATAGGTGTTGATGTTCGCTTAACTTTTAGCGCATTGATCTCAGAGAGAAGGGTTTGCTTATCCCTAACACTTTGAAGGGTGTGCACATGTGCTTGGGGTCTTGATTTTCAGTTAATCCTTGATGTAGGATTGAAAGGATGACTTCTACACGAGTAAAGCTGGGGTTTGTTAGTCATGGTATAAGGAAATTAGGGTTAAGGTTTGTGGGACAATGATTGGATTCTGTGGATGCTAAGTTCAGGGTTTTTTGGCTGGCATGGATGGTGTTAAGGAGAACTAAGGTTTAATATTGGTGTTTTGGATGCATTTAGGGTTCAATGGTGGAAGATGATAGAAGATGGGAGATGAGGGAGGTTTAGAGAGCAATGGAAGATACGGTGAGTGCCGAGGGAGTGTAGAGAGAGAATGGTTGGGATTGAGGATGAAAGAAGATAATGATGGAGGGCCTAGATTTGCATAGAATCGACACTATACAAGAACTAGGAATATGATCACAAATTCATGCGGAACTTGCTTACACAATTGCAAAAATCATTT